AAATCATAAAATTCCAACAAAAATTCGTCGCAGTCGATGGTTATAATCCAATGCTTCCGCATTGGATTATAACCATCAACTGCGACGAATTTTTCGCCACAATTTTTTTTCTCTCATTTTTTTCTTTCTTCTTCCGTTTTCCACAAATTTCCGCAATTTTTCTTGATGATGTAACGGGTGTATCTTCTTTGAACATTTTCAATAATATTAATATTCTGTATGTCTTGTGTGGATCGCAGGGGAACCAGAGGGACGAGGCGTATTCTAGAAGTGGACGATCATAGGTTGCAAATAATCTGCTTATTAGAGATAAATCACCGGATCTGAATATGATAGATGCTCGGGTGTTCGCTTCTTTGACTAAATTGGAGATATGTTGGTGGAATTTCAAGCTAAGGTTAATTATAACTAGTGATGTCTCTATACCACTTTTTTGAAAACTGTTCTATTCTGTTCTTTTGGGCTCAAAAACGGCTTTATTCTGGCCCAAACTGTTCCGTCCTCATTTGCGAGCCGTTCTATTCTATTCCATGGAACAGAACAGGAATAGAACCGTTTAACTGGAATAGAGAAATCAATAGATCAGATGTTCAAATCGCATTGTACAATAAAAAAATTTCGTTTCCCGCAATCTTCTCAACAAAATGTTCGAAAATTCTATTGTCATGTTAGTAATTAGTTTAGCTGTATAGAATTTCACATATTTTTTCTTCTTTTCAAATACAGTTTCAAGGTGCTGTCTTGTTCGCTTATTAATCCGCTTAAATGTTGAACTTTTAGCGGTATTTAACTTTTCGAATCGATGCCATATATCAATGAAAGCTCGAATGTTCTTGATTCAAAAGAAATACATGATGACCATAACGATTCCCATGCAAGTGAATCACAATCAGACGAACCAATAAATTAACGAATCATATGAATCAACGAATCCCATCAGAATCACTCCTCGCAGTGCGACTGTTTCATTATCCATGCAACAAAGCAGTATAATGAAATTATATCACTGATTAAATTGTCCATTTGGCTCATTTTGCCAATCTCTGATAAGATGTTCTTGACGATGTGAAATCGTTTGAACACACAGTGAATATTACCATATTCCAGAGAAATAGACCTCAGGATCAAAGTCCTTCAATGTGCATAATCTCAGTCGAATGAACGTTTTTTAAATCGAAAATTGGAATGGCATTCGTTAGTTGATTCATCAGTTTCTAAGGAATTATAAATTATAATTTCTCGCCAGCAATAGCCGACAGTTTTAGATATGCCGTTGCCATTTTTAGATATGCCGATATGCCGTTGCCATTACATAACTTCTCACATTTCATTGCTATGCGAAGAAATGTTATGTTGAGTCATGTTATGTTATAAATACGGTTACAAATATGTTATGCTACAAATAAAGACTGATTCGCTGATATGTATTCGCTGATATGCCATTGTATGATAATGCATTTGAATTGTTGTTCTCTTCTGTCTTCTTTCAATCCTTTCTTTGTGCCCAGCAAGAATTAGGGCAGTATATTTGCCGCTGAACTCTATTATACATATTGTCATGCGAATAAATATAGTTATAATAATAATTATTATTATCATTATTGTTGATAACGTTCGTATAGTATTACATTGCTATCAGCGATGTAGTTGGTTTCGATGAAGGCATCTTGAAAGTCTAATCGTGAGATCAAATTGTGAATTATCACTGAGATACGCATGTTTCAACAGCAATGAGAATAAGAATAGGGAATAATGATAATAATAACTTGTCACAGACCTCTCAATGAAATTTAGAAAAAGTTTTACTGTCTTTTCATTGATTGAGTTTGATAAAATTTTTAATGTATTTCTCTTTTTTATGTATTTCCTTTTATGTATTCCTCCTTCGAGGTATTCCTTTTTATGTATTTCCTTTATGGCACTGTTTCGTTCGCTTATTAATTCGCTGAGCGCCTGAAATAGCAATCGTTGCCTTACAACAATGAAAACTCGAATGTTCTGGATTTATTTTGAAAATAATACGGTAACCGTAACGATAATAAATGTATCGCAATCAGACGAATCAATAAAGTAACAAACCAACTGAATAAATGAATTCTATCAAAATCATCCTCCCCCCCCCCTGCAATGCC